CACCCCTCATATTTAAAACCATAAGTTTTTTTAGTCACCCTACTTTCTCGTGTGCTCTCTCCTCCTCATTTGAAAGCACACACTACACAATATGCTTTCATTTTTGAGTACAAGCACTATGTGAATGGAAAGCTATCAAGGTGCAATGAAAAACATCTGAAAGTTTGAAGAACTATTGATCAAGACCACTTTATATAACAAGAAAATCTGTTTTATTGGGAGTAAATCATAAAAATGGTGATGGTCTAAAAGTTTTGCACAGCACTGTGTCTTTTCTCTCAGGAGTTGATCAGTATAACATCTGTTTTCAGCCTTGTTATTTTGCGCTAGGACACTTGGGTGAGATGGCCACTTGGTCATGTTCAGCTCCCACGGCTTTAGTTTCACASCTGGACTTTGAGTTTGCAACAAAATACAAATGCAAATCTGGAGTCGTTCATCTTTTAAAGCATTTTACGGTTTCTTTTTTCAGGCCCATTTGATTCAAATGTCAGCAGTAAAGTGTCCAAGTCTCATTTTATGAGGTGATCGATGCAAATTCTTTTTTGTAAGAAAATCACCTTGAACAAGGCTCAGGGATAGTGCTGTGTATTTAAAAAAGAAACTATTGATGAGTGAWTGTTTTAGTCTTACAGTTGATTGGTTTTGTATTTGGAAAAAGCCTTGAAGGATGATTGTATTGCTTTGCCTAATGACAGCTCGCTGCATTTACTAAACCAGTTGTTATGCAACTCAACCTTTATACAACGGGTCTCTGGCTGGGTCAGATTAGGTATTTACAGTGTAAAAACAAAGAATGGTAAAATGGGACAAATCTCAAGGGTAAACCAAAATTATTAAATTTTAAGCTCTTTTGCTTTAGATAAAGTTTYGAAAAAGATTCATTTTTGGCAGCCTGAAAAATTAGAATCAACACAAAGATCACAGATTACAGTTATAATTTACCTATTATGGCACAACTTTTACAATATGACACAAAGACAGCAGAACATTTAACTGGTAGTATTTTCATAACTAACTGGCCCCCTGCCATACTAATAAATGTGTAAAGCAGCTTGAGGTTAAGCAGCATGTTTTCCTTATTGTAAGAGGCCATACGCTGCTCTCAAACACTGCTTCCCGTTTGCCTTTTACCTCTGCTGCTCATGAAAAACAAAAGTCCAACCACCATATTTGGTTTTTGACAAGAACTCGTTTTTCTTTTTGACTGACTTCCTTCATTGATGTTGCATTTTAGAGCAAGAGAAAAGAAACTCAGCAGAACATTGAAAACAAAAGTTCTTTTCCAGGTACAGGATAACATTTCCCCAATTTCTGATTTCATGCTCTACGATCTGATTGCACAGTTAGAACCAATACTCCTGTGTGTTTATTAGTTTTTGGATTGTAGTTAAACACAATTTTCTCGTCTTCCACTTCCCCACATCTTTCCTCTGCTCATGTTTTTTTTTCTTTTTTAACAAGATTTAACATATCAATGGCAGATTAGTTCGTTTAACAAAAGCTTACCACTGCAAAGCCTCCTTTCCACTCGTCCTTTCAGCCTGACTCGTGGACCTCACACGCAGCTCCTCTGCGCCCCGCTCGTCAGTACGAGTGTGTGTGGTCGACTGGTCGTGGGCTAAATGGATTTGTGTTTGAAGATGATAAAAAGCATGCTTAGTCACTTTGGTCTTCAAAGATGTGTCTAGTCACACGTGTGGAAGGTGGTATTTGAGGTGTTTCATGTGCACAGGTGGAGGGGAAAGGTTTTAATTTTACATGACTAGAAACTGTGTCAGAATCTGCTTTATAAGTGGGTTCACTTGCACTTGTGTCGCAGCTGGTTTGTGGTGAAGTAACATGAAACAGTAACCTGATAATGTATTCCTCTTGTATTGCATGTTCTTGCTTTAGTCGACACGGAAAGTGGTGTCCATGCCCTCGTAGCCATTTTAGGCTCCCCTGCAGATGCTTCTGCTTCAAAAGAGATTTTTGAACTGGGTAGACTTCGGCCTTAACTTGAATTTTTTGCGTGTGAGAGCAAGCATGTTGAGGAAAACCCCGCAGTGACACTGCAGTCAGCTCAGGAAGGATGCTCTCCTTTCTCCCGCCTGGGTTGGTGATGGTTTCCACCACATGGTAATAATCACCTGAAAGCATTAGGATGTGGACATGTCAAAAGGAGGGGGGAGAGTTGGAAACGTTCCATTAGTCAGACACGTGCCTTTTTGTTTAACACTCAGAGCTGAGCAGAACTACRTTACTCACTTACTAAAAAAATATTTTCTGTCAGACCACCCACAACTTTGACTATTACACACATTTGTGGTGGAATCATTTKAATATGCTTTTGCAGTTTTGCAACATTTGTTTCTATCTAGGGTTGCAAAGTTGTTTTTATTTATTGTGGTAGTTTTCTCCTGTACAACCCCCAAAATTGTTTATAAGGTTAAAATTTGAACTCTGGTTAATATTTGTGTGAAAAAAAGGCCTCATTCTATCTGAACCTAAACTAGGCCATGTGTAGCAGCCACTTATCATAATACTACCACTACAGGCTTATACAGTACATGCACTAGGAAAGAAATTAATTTATGATTTTTTTATCATGGCATCCTCTAAAAATCTTTAAAGGAGGGGGTATTTTGTATTTTCCAGACACATAGCTCAATTCTATATCACTATCAAGTAACCATGTTACCTTCAATTGTTATGAAAATGCTGTATATCAAAAATAAGTTTGACTTTGCATCATATCCTTAATTAAACATTGAAATTGGCCCCTGCCTCTTTAAGAACTTCCCACCATTTCTAACACTACCACTTCAGCACAGTGCTTCATGCCGTTTATAACTTTTCGTAGGAGAAAAGTCCAATCATTTTTGACAAACTGTGTCATCCTTACAAAGAGGCACCCAAAAATTAATTTACTTGATGAAGGCATATTTTAATCCAAAAAGGAGTGGACTAGGAATAAGTTAGTATTACAAGCTAAACAGGAGYGCAATACCACTAAGTGTTTGCTAATTGTTGCTACCGCAGAGCTGTGTGGGGGAGGGGTGCTCTGTGGGGCGGGAGCTCGGCTGCTGACTGAGGTCCAGGGCGGAGCTTTGTGTAAATAGGCGGGGCTTTGTATGAGCAAACGTTTAGGCAGCTCCACATGGCCACCACAGACGATTCAAGGAACATGCATAAACGAGTCAAAGCAACACTCTGGGTATGTTTTTGATGAGGAAATGACATTATAACATGATATAAAGTTAAAAACGTCGATAGTGCTACCCCCCTTTAAGAATGCAGTTTGTTCAGAGATGATATTATTAAAAGCTCTTATGATCCGAGTGTGACTAATAAGCAGTTTGTTACGGAGAAGATGATGTGTAAAAAATGATGAAAATCATGAGTAGAAAACAGACAGCAGCCCTTGTTTTAGTTTTTCACGTCTGTCACCTATCCAGCTAGGAAACACTTTCACAAAAGTAGAACTCCTAWCAGATAATTGATATTTGCTTTACTTGATCTTAGAGCTGAGCAAAAAGCAAATTCCCATTTTTGAAATGTTTGTCCAAACACTAGAGAAGCCTAAATTATTACACGATGACACAATTGTTGCCACTTTGTTTGCAAAATTACATTTTGCTGTTAGTTTTATCCTTCTGTCCTTGTTTACATGAGCCATCTGATACATTCATGTGTCCCCAGCCACCAATCTGCCTTGTTGTCTCTTGTTCTTGGCACTTGTAAAGCTCCAGGTGTCTTATGTGTCCCGTGTCCAGACAACTGTGCCAACCTCTGGTCCTCCCAGGCCACACTGGTATTGTTCCATGTAGCCCATTGTGCATGGCTCAGGTTCGAAGGGGAAACAGCTGGCGGATCCTTCAGTACCAGCCTGCTTGGCATTAGATCTAGGCTTGTGTCAGAGTGTAAGCCCCAATTCCCWCTTTGATACAAACCGTGCAACCCTGCTTTAAACTTCTGTCCAGCGTTGACTGATGTTTTCCGCACCATCAGGTGTGCAAATGTGTTGTTGTTCAGTGTAGGAGATGAGAATCTCYGAATACAATCAACCTTTTTGTAGAGATTTTAAAGTATATTAATAACTGGGTGAGTTTCAAATAAACATTGTAAACCTTTTTTTTTCTGTTGGAATTACTTGGAGCTTTATTTGAAATAAAAAAACAGCACTCTCTTGTTTAAAAAGTTTATCCTATTATAAGTTAGATATATGTTTACAAATTTTACTGCAGTCTGTGTGACAACAACACTGCTCTCCAAGAGGTTTTGTTCTGCCCTCAGTGCAGGAAGTGACTTTGTATCGACTCAAATTGCACTTCCTCTGCTCTAATTCTCCTCTACTCCTGTCAGAACCTCTTCTTCCTCTTCCCAGTGTCCCTCTTCCACCCCTTTCCCTTAATCACCTGACTTAAAGTTAGTTAATTACCAGCGAGAGTAACTTCAGATTTAGGCGTCCCAGGCATATTATCACCTGCCTTTTTGCAGAAAGGTTTTGCATCTGCCTCTACACAATTAGGAATTAGCTCATAAAATAGAGGAAAAAGCAGAGCGCCTTGGCTTTATGAGTTTATGGGAATAAATATGGGCTACTTGTTTGATTGTGTTCCAGAAAATGTGAATCTGTTCACACCGAGGAGTCCTTTGAGTTGCATTTCCTCCTACCTTATAGTGTGGATTCTTCTGAAATGAGGAAAGGAGGCCTAAGCAGGGGTTCATTTCCTGATTAACCGGGTTCAGAATTCTCCAGTATCCTTACCACTGGTGATGTAAGCCAAGTGGAAATGACATAATGCAAAGATACACGCTTGATATTATTCACTGCCGTTTCGTCACAGAGCAAGTTGCAAAGATGAAACAGCTCTGTATTTCTTGTTTTCTGCACCGATGCCAACCCACAGCAGGATAATAACCATAAATATAATCATTTATAACTGTGAATGTTTACCTCCATCATTGTTTACCTTTACTCACATTATTTCTCATATCTTTGCTTCTCTCTCCAGTTCCCAGAGTGTGGCTTCTTTGGCATGTATGACAAGATCTTGCTGTTCCGCCACGACTTAAACGATGAGAACATCCTGCAGAGGCTGACCTCAGTCGAAGACATCCACGAAGGGGACCTCATCGAGGTGGTGCTCTCTGGTATGTAAGCAAATCCTCTCAGCGCTTTCTTCACACACTCGTTTGTCCCAGAACATCAGATTATTGAGGTCAAAGATGAGTTTTATTTGACCGTTTYAACTGTCCCGTCCCAATTTATACTCTGTTTATATTGCTTAAACTAGTTCTCCAAATAAGTATTTCTTATACATCATACAAATCTGAGGGCAGAAACAGGTGAGAATAAAGACATTTACTGACAATACACTGCAGTTACTTAAATCCACCGTATGTTTACTAAAAACAGCYGGTTGGAGGAAAAGAAATGGTCAATAAAAGACACTAGGGAGATCACTTTTCTGGCTCAGTTTTGGTTCAGTCTGATTTACTCCAAACAGACTTTAGATCATACTTCTTCAGACGTCCAAAACAGGAGCAACAAGTGTAAACCAGCTGTTTTAGTGTCTAAACAATGATCTGAAATGAACGCACTAACCGAAACTTCACTTGCTACATTTTTCACACCCTTTCCAGTAAGCTCAGCTTGCTCTTTTTTTGATGTTGTTGTTTTTGTTCAAGAACACTTCACTGGGGTTTATACTTTCAAYCAAACTTTGCTGCCTAGTTAAAATAAATATTGAGCAACTCTTTTGGTCATTAAGTGAATATCTTAAAAGCAGCTCCTAAACACTTTACTTTCTCGCTTGCATTTTGCTGTTAGTGTTTTTTTTCTTTCTTCTTCTTCTTTCCGTATCACAGTTTCCACCAGATTGTCCATCTTTGTAGCAGCTTCACAGGTGTTTGGTTTTTCATTCTCATTTCCTTCAGTGACTAAATCGGCTTCCTCTGTAGTGCTGAGACTAACAAATGGCTCAGAATATCTATTCTGCTTTAATCTGTTGTGCAGCTCCATCTGTCTCTACTGGGAAGCACCTGATACCACCTGTGCTGAATATCCCACCCCCTCTCCTGAGTTGAGAGGATTGTTTGTGAGGATTTAGACAGCGGATGACTGTATAGATTTAGGATCTTAGGATTCTTCAGGCATCAGGGCTGAAGAATGTAGACTTAAGGCTGGAGAACTTCCTACTTTCTTCTCTTTATGTCTGTGTTTGTCTTGTGTGCTTTTTGTTTCAGTCTTTGGGGCTCTCTTTCTCTAACTGCATTTTTTAACTCCTAATCTGATTTACCTCATCAAACTCATTTAAAGGTGWAAAATCTGAAAAGTGAAGCTAAATTATTTCAGATAAAATCTTCTTTTGTTAATATCCAATATTTATTAAACTTTATATTATAGGGTTCATGTTGAAAACTTTATCTTAGAGAAATAAAATAGAGATAGCCATTTTCAGGCCTTTCGTTGTGTGCAGAGAAAACCAGACATTTTTTCTTCCTCACGTTTGCCTCTTGCCGTCTTCCGTTGGTTTTGTCATTACTTGTGTTGTTGGATCCTGCAGCTGTGGGAGAGACATGATCTGAATATCTTCCTCTCTGCAAGAGAGGCGCACAAGTGGCTTTTTCTTGGCCGGGATCTCAAAGAGAAGCGCTTGTTTTTCCTGCAGTAAGTGATTGTAGTGGACTTACTGAGTGTAAACAGGCTGTGATGTGCAGGGCGGCCCTGGACGCAGCGGACGCTGTGTGGGCCCTTTTGACCCCATGAGATTTGAGGTTTGGCCTGACCRATTGTCCCTTTGTTCTGTTTTTCACTCCTCTTTAAATCACACYCACTTCTCACAAGCTCCATATTCCCCACCAGTGGCAGTTGCGAAAAATGCGTCCCGTARTACCTTCTGTTTGTCGTAAACTCTCCAAACTTTTTTTTGTGGGATGTAAAGTTGAAACCTCCCAGTGAACAGATGTTTTGTTTGTTCTTGAGAGAAAGGCTTCAAAACACTGAAAAACAACGTGTCATGTTTATGTTCGGTGTTGTTTGATGCTAATTAGYAGGATGTGCGTTACATAACGCTTAAAAAGTGGCCTGTTGTTTTGCAGATGTGTGTGAAAAATAAAAAAAAAACGTATGAATGCTGCTTTTCATATGTCTGTCCTTGTCACGACACTTGACCTGCTGGAGGCCATTCTTCTCCTCAACATCAAACCCAAACTGCAAACATCACCACACAGATGGCTTTGTCTTGCATTAATGACTCTGACAAAGTGACAGTAAAACAAAGACAGTGGATTTTTTTTTCATTTAGTTGGATTTAAAACGCACACTGAACTCGTCCTTTTCGGCCTGAAAGTCCTCTCTTGTCCAGAAGGATTTGTGTTTGGTCGAACGGCTCGGGGAGGGGAGAAGAAGACGGAACCATCGCACAATATTTGACATCACTAATGTCACAGCAGSAGCTTTCTCTCCTTAACCTCGGTATAAAGATTAACCATTCCCCTGTTGTTCGCCGTGGCTGCATAAATGATTGCATGGGAACAACAGCGAGCTCTGAGAAACCAAGTGTCAGTCACAAGCAACAACATATTGGCAGTCCTCACCTCCGTGCCTTACTCATCTTCACATGTTTGWTTATTCACAGCCACGATTAATCCAGGCTCGCTGCCAACAATGTGCTGCCTTTTGACAGAAAGGGAGCAGACGAAGACAGAATAAGAGAAGCAAAATGAAGAGACGAGCTCAGAGCTGCACCAGATTTGATAATATGTTCGAAATAACACGAGCAGGGTCATAAATCAAGTTTATTCAGCGTGTTTGGTTTCTTAAGGGTGTGCCTTATCACATGATAGAGGGAATGGATACAGTGAAGCGGCGCTGCTGGAGATGTGACGCCCTCTACTGCACCGATGAGGGTATAGCAGCCATGTTTGCAGAGGACCCTTCCTCCTGATTTGAAAGCGATATGAAGTCTTTTCTTGTACAAACTGACACAATTTCCTGAGGTATTGCTAAAATGTCTGTGGCTTGTTTAGATATAATTACACTAAGACACAGTTTTTACCTCCACAATGTCTTTTATAGCTCTAAAGCAGTGCATTTGAAAGAACTGTGTTCTTCCTTTCTCTTCCACGATGGACCTTTTTTTTTTTAAAACCCTAGACCTTTTATTATACCAGCTCCAACCTTTATTACCTCTTGGCTTCAAATTTGGCTCATTTGCCTGAGTCGCTTCAGAGCTAAATTTAAGAAGTGTTGCTTTTACTGATAGATTTCAAACGATATTTATTGTTTGTTTTATAGTCTTCTGATTACATGCTAAATACCTGCACATGGTAAATTACAAACACTGACTTCAAGATGGCGTAAAAATAAGTAATAAGTTTGATTCGCTCAGCTATAAACTATTTAACAAGCTGGAGCGTTAATAGCTGCAGTCTCTCTGAAGTGAAGTGAGCTGAGAACCAGCTGACTTTAATTAAACAAAAGAAAAAGACAGAACAAAGCTTTGACTTTGCTTCCAAGGTACAGTGAATGCAGCTGGATTGGAAGTTCAAGTTGGGGAAAAAACTAAGATAGAAAAGCTTCTTATTTGGAAGTTCACCCTCCAGCTTTGAACAAACCACTGAGATCTTTTCAAATCAAAAAGATTTAAAATCAAATGCACTTTTGATTAATATCTGGCAATATGTCCATTTTAAAATGAGTATTCCACAAACAAGCTTATTTATATATACACACTGTTTGGATTGTTTAAATTAAGATTTGAACAGTAGAATAAAACACATAAAACGCAGGTGAATAATTTGCTCTTCTCTTTTTGATTCCTTCTTTTCTCATTATCATTTTCTAGATTTGTTCTTCCTTCCCTTTTTTTTTTTGTTTTGTTTGAGTTATACCACATATTTCCTTTGTTTATAGCTCAAGCCACAGTTGAAGACTTCCAGATCCGACCTCATGCCCTCTACGTCCACTCCTACAAGGCCCCCACCTTCTGTGACTACTGTGGGGAGATGCTGTGGGGTCTCGTCCGGCAGGGGCTCAAATGTGAAGGTTAGAAACTTCAACGCAAACCTGGTTGAAATCTGCACAAACCAATTATGTTGTTGCTATTACGCTTTAACCTTTACTGCATCTCAGCACAGTTCAGAGCCATTTCCTGAAAACCGGGTTGAAAATACAGAAACAAGCAAACAGGAATGGTTTGTTTTGGGAACTGTAACTATTGAAACACTTGACATTTAAATCCCAGAGGGTCTGAAGCATGCCTTTTAAGCTTTTGTCATTGTTGAATCAGACTATTAAGAAAAGATGTTTGTYTTTTTCATATTGGATTGTGTTTGCTGTCTTATCAAACAGATTCATAAACGTGTGAAGCATATCCATACTGTAAACTCTCACACTTTGAACATTCAGTGGAGCTAGGTTGGGGTTGATTCGCAAAGTGAACGTTACCATTTTTTCTTTTTTTTTTTTCTAATTTGATCTGTGTTTTTTTGCCTTTCCAGGATGTGGGCTGAACTACCACAAACGTTGTGCCTTCAAGATACCWAATAACTGTACTGGTGTGAGGAAGAGGCGATTGTCCAATGTTTCCTTGCCAGGACCGTCTCTCTCTGTTCCAAGACCGCCACCTGCTGAAAATGCAGTGGTTGTCCCTGATGAGGTGGGTTCTGCTAAACAGGAATAATAATAAAAAAAGATCCAAGTGTTTTTGCATGAAAAGCAAAGTACAATGATTTTTTTTTATAATCCTCTCGCATAAAATGAGCTTGTTCTTGTTTTGACATAATTTTAAAGAAGACCGACGGGTGAATTTCTATTTGCAACAAATTCTCGGTCCACATGCTCCTCACAAGYCCCACCTCTGCTGTTAAATACTTATAAAGTTATCAAATTTGGCTCTTTTCCACGGCCAACCCTCCAGGGCCAAATTGTCGAATAGCACTGATGCAGAAAATTGAATTTAGCTGCACTGACTCATTGGAAAGCTCCTCRGTGAGCTCTTATGAAACAGCTTTTGCATAAGCTCACACAGGAATCCTCCCTTCTATTCTGTGTCCACGCAAAAGGTCACAAGGAAATGTAATTATGCTAATGATTCTGTTGAAGTTTTTCAGTTTTTTGTATCTGCTAACTTGCTGGTGGAAAAATGGAAATGGTGTTCTTCCCATTTCTGTCAGGAGCTTCCAGACTGTTTGATTTACACAAAGAAAATGTTAACCAGCTGCTCGTATTTGTTAGACATGACAAATTTAAAAACCCCGTTCGCARCACTCAGAATGGGAATAAAATGCAAAAATTAATAATGCTTTTAAATAGGGATGCACAATAACTTTTTGAGAATCAATACAGATAACCGATAATAACCGATAACATTCCAGGAGATAAAAAGACTAGTGAGAAAAGTGTAAGATAACATAAATAAACAAGAACAAAACCAAATGACTGTAAATTATATTGTTTGAAATAAACTCTTAGCAAGCAAACATTTCCTAAAATATATCAAACAAAACAATTTCTCAAATGAACATCTATTTTTGTTTTTCCCTATTCTTCCTGCACATGGTTTTCATTTTTCCCCCCAACTTTTTTCCTTTTTCCTTCTATTCAACCTCAGCAACAGCGCTCCCATCAGGAGGCGGGGAAGCGCATCCTGTCCTGGAGCGGCAGGCCCATCTGGATGGATAAGATGGAGAAAACTCGGGTCAAGGTGCCGCACACCTTTGCCATCCACACCTACACCCGGCCGACCATCTGCCAGTACTGCAAACGTCTGCTCAAGGGTCTCTTTCGCCAGGGCATGCAGTGTAAAGGTGGGATTAAATATGAAAATGTATATCAGCATACTCAATGCTTTCATTAGAAAAAAATGACAATTACATAATTATCACTTATCAGATTGCAGATTTAACTGCCATAAACGATGTGCTTCGAAGGTACCAAGAGACTGTTTGGGGGAGGTGGATTTCAATGGAGGTAAACTTTTCTGCAAGTTTCATGAATTGAAAGTGATGACAGATATTCACAAACATTTTCAAGTTTTCATATGGAAATGTCCAAATGTCCACACATTTTCTTATATTTTGCTTCAAGGGAGCCAGATTTGAGTTAATAAGTAGGCAAAGATGACTTAAAAAATTATAAAGAAATTAAAGATGGTTTAAAACCTGTGGCACATTACTGTATATATGCGTAAACACGTTAGCTAAAGGTGTGTTTTCAAAGTGGGGCTGAGGCGCCCTGTTGGGCCACCAGGGGGCACTAGGGAGGCCTCAGAAGTGGAGGGAAGGAAAAAAAAAGGGGCAAAATACAAAAACTAAATCTAAAACATGTTCTTAATCGTTAAAAAATCAAATCTGTTTTTCCAATCATTATTTCAAAATATAATTTATAATAATATGTTGAAATGTTATTTAAGTGAACTTAAGAGAGGTTTTTATTTTGTTCTGTTCTTATCGTCCTTTTTTTGAAAAGTCATTTTTTTCAGTAGGAATATAATAGTATTTAAAACACGTTAACAAAATTCTTATGCTAAACAAATGTAAGAATTAGATAATGGTGAATAAAAGGGAGAGAAAAAAAACATTCTAAAGGTTGATGTTTCTTTACATATTTCCTAGCATTGTTTATGGGTTTGCAASGGGTGGTCCCCGGAAATTGTTCCAATATTCACCATTTCCAAGTGGCAAACATCATCTGCGCTTTATTGATGCCTAAATGTGAAATCAGTGATTATGCTTCAAACTCTTGGATTTGGTGTCGCTGTGCAGAGCCAGCCAGCCCCGGGCCAGACTCTGACACCACCATGGATACTATGGAGGTGGACAGCAGTGAWATGGATGGTGGCAGAGGACTGGATGATCCAGATGAACCGTCCACTCCAGACGGGATGTTTGGCATGRATTCTCCATTTGTCGATAGAGAGAAGGATGAAGAGCCCATCAAGACTATAAGGTACTCCGTCACTGTGTTATTACAGGGAAACGACACAGTTATAAAGCTGAAGTTATGCATATAACCAATATATAAATCTAAATTAGAGTGGCTGCTGATRCAAATGTAAAATGCATAATTTTCTGTGTACTTATTCTCCCAGTGTTGCCCTTTGGGAAAAAAAAAGCAAATATGTTTGCTGTTAAATAAATCAGGTTTTCATGTTTTGTATTTGTGTGTCCAGTCCTTCCACAAGCAGCAACATCCCTCTAATGCGGGTGGTCCAGTCCATCAAACATACCAAGAGACGGAGCTCCACTGTGGTGAAGGAAGGCTGGATGGTTCATTATACGAGCAGGGACAACCTGGTAAGACTAAAGACCCCTAATGCCTTAATAGATGGGTTAATGGCTGTGTTTATCCTGCAAATGTCTTCTTCCTCCCAACAAAAAAAAAATTAGTAAAAATGCCTTAACAGAAAATGACTTGGGTAAAAATAAAATTTACTGATAAGAAATGCATTCAAGTAGAGGCTCCGAGTTGAGTGAATGTAAAGCAGTTTGCTCAACTCAGTTTAGTGGAACCAGTTGATGCAACTTTAAGTCAATTCAAGACTTCATTTTTTTACAGTACATAAACCACTCCTTTAATAATGAATTTCAGTCGTATTTAAATTTGTAGAATGTCAAGAGGTGTTATTTTTTAAACAAAATAGTGAAAGTATAATTTTCATTTTGAATCTAACAAAATAAAAGTAAAATTTACAATTAAAATAAAATACTGGTAAAATTACAGATCTTCAAAAAAAAAAGACTTAAGTACTATAATGAAATAAACGTACTTTGTAACTGTACACCTCTGCTTCTTCCAACCTTTTCTGAGTTAATTCCTGCACAGGTTTTAACCTTCTGTAAAACTCTGCACTTTTGCATTAATGGTAATTAGTGTGTTTGTTTTCTTTAACAGCGGAAGAGACATTACTGGAGACTGGACAGCAAGAGTCTGAGTCTTTTCCAGAACGACACCGGAGCCAAGTTCTATAAAGTAAGAATTTAGATTCATTAAAAGTTTAGGAAACGGTTGTAAATCGTTTCTCGAAAGTTCTTTTCATAGCTCCAAAGAACTAGAAATGCACTTAGTTTTAAGTATTTTCAACTGCGGCACAAATACTGTATTTTGTGCAAATGTTTTCACCCCTGTGTGGTATGTAAATCAAAGCCAGAGGGGGCTGTGTGACTCAGCTTAAGAGCGGTCATGTTGCAACTGTAAACTACTGTGAGGTCACCAGCAGACCACTGAAATTTCCCCTGTGCTTTTTCCTTCTGCAGCCTGCTGTCTTGTTGAAGGGTCACATCACTAACACACAGTGTTTTTAACAGTTACTAACATTACAGCTGCAAAATGTAAAGGGCACTGGAAGACCTTAGGCTGTCAGTGAAATGCTGCAGTTTGAATGTGTAAAATCACTTGTGGAGGTTGTGTGACACTTCCCTGTCAGTAGCAGTATCGTAGTTAGTCATTACTTGCTGCAGAGGCTTAATAAAGCTGCAATTACTCTTAGAGGGCCAAAGGAGGGAACTAAAGCCTGAGGTAAAGACTTCCCCGTGTGGGTTTAAAGGTTTTCTTTGTGTATATTGATGAAACTTTATTATTAGTTGTAGGGCTGGGTTTTAAAAAAATCGACTTAATCGATCTGGATTGATTTTCGTTAAAAGTTGGGAAAATCGTCATAAGTCATGAGATCGATTTTTCTCCTTGGGTGTTGTGTGCGATGAAGCTGCATGTTTCCATGTTGTGTGTCACTCCTGGCTTGCCGTAGTTTTACAGCCGTTTGACAGTCAGCACTAACATTAGCTCCCGACAACAGGTTTTCTGGGGCAAAACAAACAAAAGAGGAATCACTAACATTACAGCTGATTSTCAGCTGGACTTAAAGATAACAGAGACCATGACAACTTTAGTTTGCAAAGATTTGCGCTCAGRCGCAGTAGCTGGAAACAAAGCTTCGAGCGGCTCGAACCAAAACTACTGTTTGTAAACATCTGAGTGAAACTGTTCTCCTCTGCATGTATAAATGTGTGAAAGATGACAGTCTAACAAAATTGTTTAGTTTCGTTACCAATATTTTTAAATTTAAGAAACATCTTAATGTAATGCACAGTGATGGAATGTTTTGGCTGATGTTCGTTCCCTCCCTCCCTCCCTTCCTCCCTTCCTTCCTTCCTTCCTTCCTTCCTTCCTTCCTTCCTTCCTATTAAGTTATATTGAACAGAAGGTAACAGAAGAATTACAAATATACAATTACCATACTCTCAAAAGAGTGGGCAGAAGTATACACTTATAATATCCCACCTCTTCTCCTGTAATCTTATTCCATCACTTCTTAATGATTAAGAAAATTATTCTTAGTTTCTTAAAAAAACTAATGTATCCAGCAACTCTTTCTCTTGCAATTACTTTTTAGTTTAAACTCTTTGAAACTTGAGACAGTTTTGTTTCAAGCTTAAACTCCACTTTACAAGTTTACAAGTAAAATTGTTTAAAATTTTACCAATGCACCAAGTTAGAATTAGTTTCTACTATTTGCAGAATTAGTCCCTTTGAGAATGTCTTACATATCAAAGTAAATGTTACTGCATGATATCCTTAATTTAAAAATCAATCAAACTGAATCGTGAGTCATCGTTAATCGTTGTGAATCGTGTCGATTTGGGAAATCTGAATCGATACCCAGCCCTAATTATYTGTGTGAATACTTATAAAAACATTCACACTTTTCAGATCCATTTTTCTTCTGTATGTTTTTCAGCACATATTTCAGGCTATTTCAACAGTTTATATATCAAAACATTCAGCACCTTCACGACATTCCGCTATGACTTTTGGTACTTCAGCAGTTTATACTTTTTGATATATTTAGCTTTTTCTGACATTTTTTTTCTCATTGAAATAAAGAGAGCTGGTTTCAAAACCTTTGAAACTGTAAATCTTTACTGTACTTTTTATCTTCTGTTCTGGTTCTGTTTTTTTAACTCCTTTGTACTAATTTCAACTTTTTTTGGCTTATAATTAGCTGATTTTAATATTTTTTTACTTTTTCTGCTATTCTGCTAAATTCAACATTTGTATGTTTCTTTTAGCTTCTTTTTAAAAATTTCAGCTGTTTGTGGTTTTAGCTACTTTTTAGCTAATTTGAGTTTTGTTCAGCTAAATTCCYCTTTTATGATAATTTCAGCTTCTTACTTCTTAATTCAGCAAATCTGTTCTTTTTCTCTGTGTTTAATTTAAGCTATTTCAGCTACTTTTAAAACTACTTTTAGGCTAGGTTGTGTTTTTTTTTAGATATTCAACAAAAAATGTTCAGTATTAAGCATTCACACTGCATTTTTGCAAGAAATCCAACTCCTCTTTACCTGTGGTGAATATTTGTAACAACACTCAACTTGAATGTGATAAACACGTGGCTTCATCTATAAACTAACTGCTACAGGGAGTCCTGTTTTTATTCTTTTCTTGCTGTCTTTATTTAAGTTATTAAAAAAGAGAGGAGAATGTCTCTCTCCCTTCCATCTCAGTTATTCTGTCACACCCTGCAGCCTCTGCCACTAAAGCCCCAGAGAGGAAACCTCAGTGGGATCGACTCCTGAGGGTGTGTTTACTGCTGACATTATGTGGTTCTTTATTATCAACTTGGCACTCAACTACATTTAAGATCTTCAGGAGGCAAATTGAAGGGCAGCTKCAAATCTCTTTTTTCTTCAGAGGTACTTTATCTGCAATTATCTGCGACATAAATTGTAAGATGATTTTCTGTACCTCATGTAGAAAACCATTTTTTATAAAGGTTTCCTTTCTGAGGCCTCATTCTGAAGCTCCAGTCTTTCTCCAGAAAATATCCTGAGGACTTATTTCTTTGAAGTTTCCTGCCTGCTGCTCATCAGCATGTGGCTACAGTACCCCTCTCCTCTTTTTTATACCTCCAATCTGATTAGTGGTGGTCGTGTGGTGGCTCGCACGCCAGGCATGGCAGCCATTTTCTCCCATTTGGAAGCCATAAAGGCTCCTCGTTTGAAGATGAGACCCCTGTACTTGTGGCTTCCTCTGAAGATCTTTTTTATGGGGTGAGGTTTTTTTTTTTTGTTTTGTTTTTTTCTTTTCTTCTCTCCCAGTTTCAGTGCTGTCACTCTGAAACATTGGACCCACAGAAGCCCACTCACACTCCTTCCTGTGAGGTGGGAGGGGGACAGTAGTTGCCTTGTCTCTCGTCTCAGTGGCTGGCGGTTGCGCCAGCGGCTCGTGCTCAGATGGGGCCTCTGGCTCGTCCTGCCTTGTAATCAGGGAACCAGAGCACTTCAGCCGCCGCAGAGCCCGATCACGTGACCCGGCTTCGCTAACCACAAGCACTTCACCCGATACTCTGTGGTGAGCCACGCGGAGGGGACAGCGTGCGTCTCTCTCAGCCCCCATTGGCTGGAACCTCTGGGTTTTTTGTGCCGTTTGACCCTCCCTCCTGTCTTTGATTTGATGGGGGGGGGTTAAAGGAGAAGGGGGAACTTTTGGTTGTGCTGCTTTTGGTTTGAGCTCATGAGAGAGAAAGAAGAGGGACAGAGGAGGTTTTGAACTTGGACCAAAGTGTGTGAAGACTTTTCAGAGTTTGTGAGTGTGACTGCTTTTATACAGATTGTGTAGCTTGTATAAAATAGCTATAAGATGCAAGTGTTTGCACTGCAAAAGCTGTCCATCTTACCAAGTTTTAAAATCTTATATCCAGCCAAAAAGTCTTTTTGATCTTGTTTTGAGACAGATTTAGTAAACAAGAACTGACTGTGTAAGAATAATCATCTTGTTTTCAGAATGTGTAAGATTATTTGTCTTGTTAGCCTGAAAATTTGACTCAAATTAAGTAAAAAAACTTTCTGCCAATGGAGTAAGAAAATTTTTACTTGGTAAGAATTCTTGAAATACTTCATTTGACTCAGTTTTTTCTTATTTCAAGAATCTTACCAAGTAAAATTTTCTTACTCCATTGGCAGAAATTTTTTAGCTTAATTCGAGTCAAATTTTCAGGCTAACAAAGACAAATAATCTTACA